TRGAAARKGATYTSAWWWCTTKTTMCAAAKTCGRCSMWGGAWWSRGAAATTTATTTCATAATTTTTCACGAAAAATACGTTMAKTTTGGCAGCATTTTTAAGTGAAACTTGAGCATTTAGAAGAATGAGTAACTTGACTAAAACTGAAAAATTTGAATAAATTTTAAAAATATTATTAATAAATGAGCCTTAAAGTAAATCTAAAAACAAGTAAAAAAGTCATCAACATTTTCCCAGCAACGGAACTGAGTTGCTTCGCCGGTACGTTGGGTTGGCGCACAAAGCCATGTGCGTAGCACTGCGCCAACTCCTAAAAAAAAACACTGAGTTATCCAGGCCCAGTTTATGCACATAAATAGTTTCTGTATTCACTGGCTTTTCTCGCAAACATTTCTGTAAGTTTGAATAGAATATTTCCTGTTTTAAAACTCAATTTTCTTTACGCAATCACATTATTTCGTCTATAAGAAGGAAATGGACACGGTGAAAAGAGAATGACCAATAATTGTAAGTACTGAATTCTCGCGTTTGTACAAACGGGTTAGACTTAGGATGATTCCCGACCAGTTTATTTTACTATATACAACTTTATTATTTACAGCTGAATTCACCTTTGTTCCAGAACCAGGCCCCGCCTCCGTATTATGCCCCTGGTTTGGACAATCAAGCTTTGGACCTGCAAATGGCTTTGGACGACCAAAAGGCTGTTTATGCTGCCACCCAAAACGGATATGGACATTATGGGGAGCCCAGGAACGACTGGAACTATCTAGGTAAGCATTGCCCCTACACAGGCCGTATTTCTAAGACTGTTAATTATTTTTTCTATTCCAGATGCCGGTTATACAACGACGGTTCCCGGAAATGGAAGCGTGGATTCGCAAGATTCTTTATGGCAGTTGAAGATGGCAGCTAATGGAGGCCCTCAATATGACCAGTATGGAGGCCATGACGATTATGCTCACTTTCCTCAAACTCAAGACCCTTATGCACAAGTAAGTGTCTATTCTCGATTATCTCAACTTATAAGTGCATGAAGCATTAAAATGTTTCTAAGCAAAGTCGTAATAAAGATTTAAGGCGCTGGTTAAGGTAAAAGCGGGAAGAACCATCGGCAGGAGATGAATATTTGCAAAGTTCAAATATTTACAACATAATAAAAGTGCAGATGCCTTTTATACTGAAGCCCTTAATATGAGGGTTTTGCATAAAATGGACTGTTGTTTTCCCCAGAATAGAGGTTTGCTCAGGGTGTGCTTAACCATTATTTACAGACGGAATGGGGTAGAGTTTTTAGTTACTTTACTCGCTGAAAGTTCTTATACTGTCCATAAATGCGCTGCTAGGAGAAAAAATGTACATGATTTATCATGAATATGGCGCCAACTTTTCCTGTAATTCGATAAACATTGATGGCACTCTTTCGGCTTCAGATAGGAAAAAATGTGAAAAACTTAAGAGTTTCTGTACGAAACAGGATTCAATCAAATTCATTCTTGGGTTTCAGTCATTTATTGTCTCTATTTATCAATCAAAATACGTTTCGGTGTATTTTTCCACCATCATCAGTTTTTATG